GGGATGAAATAAAGAAGTGATGTAGTATTCCGCGGAGTCCCCTTACTTCGGCGGACACACACTATTCTGACTTAACTGACCTTAGCAATAGAAGACTTCGCCAAAACAGTTAAGAATGTTCAGCAATACCAATCAGTCAGCTTCAGAGATACACCACGCAATATTGACGATAGTTGATTCTTGTTAACTCGTGGGTCGAACGGAGAGGAGAGGAAATCAGCATGTAGTAAGCAAAAAAAATCCAGCCTCGACTGGACATATACAGTGGCAGCTCACCTGGAGAAACCAAACAGCTTCGCTATTGTCCAATCGGTTGAATGGGTGCCCAAATCGATTAATTATCAATGGTAGGCAAAATCAGCAAATCAAGTTGTGACGTCACCAGTCTTCGAAACTCCAAACGATTATTAATGATGATTTAGGAGAAGAGGAGGAAATCCAAATGTAGCATCAAAAGTATTCGGCTTCGGCCGGGCATATACTGCGGCTAACTCACCCAGAGAAACCAGCGGCGGTAAAAACCCAGCAACGAATCCAGCGACGTAATCAAATCGATAGAGGTGTGCAAAATGATCGAAATCTCGGTAGCCAAATCAGGGATACGTCCACAATAATTGAAGAGGATGTAAATTCAATTAAAACGTGTATTTCTGCTGCCCAAGCTTAGGCAGACATATACCTAGTTCTATTTCACTAACCTGGACGAAATACGATGGCGCTTCCTCTTCTTGTGAATTTCCTCGTGGTCTACGTTGACTCGGATGCTCAAAATGGCCACAACCAGGGCCGATGGTATTTTATATTGATGACGGCCACAACCAGGGCCAAAGGTTGTTTCAGCTGAATGGTTGCGACTGAAGTGCTAGCCAGAAATAACGACAGTTGCCAGTAACCAATAAAGATGCAGCACAGTAGTACGGAATCCTCGAAGAATAGGATTGTCCTCACCGATACCGGTTGATTATCGTCGGTCCAAATATTAACGGTCGAAGAGTGTTTAGTCCAGAGAGGGTTCGAAAAGAGGTGTTAGAATCACGACTAACTAAACTTCGGTAGGACATACACTAATTTTATAATTACCTGGAGAAACAGAAATCCAATGCCGGTTAGTGTCCAGTCCACACCGAAAGCCGTTCCAAAATGTCCAGCGGAAATCCAAAGTCCACAGTCAGTGTCCAGAGTTCTATGGCGCTTACCCAAGCGACGCGCAAACTCGTTGACAATGGATCCCTTGATGCCCTTTGACACCACTAGCGATGGCGATGATCCAATTATGCCTCGCTAATTACTCCGCGAAATGATGGCGACACTCCTTTCTTCCGCGGAACACAATGAAACGATTGTTGGATGGTATGCGGCTGTTTCCAAAGTCCTGTGGCGCCGATCGAGCTTTGAGTCCTTGTCTGGCACGGTCCTTAGGCATCCGGCTCGAAGGACCAATTATGTAGGATACCTGGACCGGTTGATAGCTCGGTGGATGGGTTGGGATGTTCGATGAGGTGATGGTTATTCTTCCGTAATGGTCACAGCACTGAAAACTACCTTTTTATTTAACACAACTCTTTACTAACAGGACTCTACCAATTTACATTTATTACATTTAACATTTAACATTTAACACTAAATTGGTCACGCAGGACCGTCTTCGACCTTGTATTACTTAACACTAATTTTGACCTGCCACTACTCCTAAAACAAAACCTGAACCAAACAATCTGTGGTGAATTTACACATATACAAAATACATCTTCACCGAAATTCTCTCGCGCTCACCAGCTATCGGCTACCGATCCATCGGTTGCATCGATGACGTCAATGTAAGTGCCATCGAAAGGGAAAGTGATCTCCCTTGTTCATCTGGCTGACCGTCGACCGATTGGCGAAACAAAGGACATCCAAAACAACAGTCTGCCGTACTGCTGGTCGGTTGAGATGGTGTGTTTTAGGGTGGTCCTCGCAGACAGAACACGATGCGAGAAGATGATTTAAGATGCTTCAAGTCCTCTCATCCATTAATGTATGAGCTATGTAAAACAGTATGCGTTTGACTAGTACTGTCGCATTAATGGCTCTTCGCTCAATTTCAACTTCTATCAATTTTCACACTGCCGTACTTTAGTGGAACTATCAACCTATCCTCTTCAGAACTTTATCTAGTTAATACATTATTACTCTAAAGCTTCATGCTGATAATAGTATAGCATTTCCGACGAACTACATATTTTGGCACGCTGATACCGAATATGAAATCAGGAAATTGATCTTTAATTTTGACGTAGGACTACGTCTGTGATTTCTATATGGGGGTACACTTTGTGAAAACCGAAAATGAAACATGTAACTAAATTATGAACGATTTTGAACGTTAATACCTCAGCTGCCCTTGGGCAAATTTCAATAACTTTATCACCTATCAATGAGAAATATTTCTACGCATCTGTTAAATTTAAGACTTTATACATTTTCAAAATGTTACTATTGAAAATTTGCACGAATGTGCAATTGTTGCTATGATAGTTAAAATTATCCCCGATTGCCTACGAAAAGCGATTTCCCTAACACAGATTTCAAAGTTGAATTCCATCCGGGCTCACCAAACGGTGTTTATTCAATCACCGCGTGGTGGTGTTCTCCAGTACACAACGAAAGGCTACCCGGAAGCAGCTAGCCATCAAAGCTGCCCTCAACCACTGATCGTATTCAGTCCAATCACCGTGTCCAGTCGTCGGCATCAGCAGCAGCAGCAGTGCTTTCGGCGTGTGGCGTTGGACATTAGTAAAATACACAACGATAGGCTGCCTGCAAGCAGCGAGCTGCAGCCCCATGAACATTCATAGAAGGAGGAAGAACCCGTACCACTATTGATCGGAATCAGTAGGTCTTCGTGCGTCGCTGTGGGCCATCTATACCAAGGGCCTCATTCCAAACAACATACAGCTCATCAACATCATCTGTGTTTAACACCCTAATAGCTCAGCATTACTCAACCATCATGACAAAACGATCCTTTTCAGGTCCACCATAAATTAGTAAAAGAGTAGTTTTTGGACATTTATCAAGGTCATCAATCGGATGTCAGTTCCCATATCAAGATGTAGTAGAGCTGGAATTAGGGCATAACAGCTTTTGTAAACAATGACTTCTTTCGATGATGTCTTGAAAGTCAAGGCTCGCCCATGCAAATCAACATCACCATCAGGTAGAGTAAGACTTCCCCTACCCGACGGTAATGTTGGTTTGCGTGGGCATGCCTTGAATTCCTAAACATCATCGAGAGAAGTCATTGTTTACTAAAGCTGTTATGGCTTATTCCAGCTCTATCTAGATATGTTTAAATCTAACATACCATGTTCTTTCTTGAAGGCAACATTTGGGGTGCAATTTCAAAAACCAATCTCTGTCACGGCATGCAAATGGTCTGATTTTGATCCAGAAATGATGGATTTTCATTCTTAATACGCCAATCGATAGGAATTTCTTCTGTTAAAATTAAGACTTTATAATTTTTCAAAATGTCACTATTGAAAATTGCACGAATGTGCAATTGTTGCGATGATAGTTAAAATTATCACCGATTGCACAGATTTCAAAGTTGAATTCCTTCCGGGCTCACCAAACAATCAATCACCGCGTGATGAGTGGTGGTGTTCTAAAGTACACAACGAAAGGCTGTCTGCAAACAGTGAGCTGCAGCCCAGATGAGCATCCATAGAAGGAGGAAGAAGCCGCACCGATAATGATCGGAATCAGTAGCTCTTCGTGAGTCGCTGTGGGACATCTATGTAAAGCTCGTCATACTAAAGGGTATAAACAGAGAGAACCTCGCTCAAATTCCTATTCCTACATATAACAAGCTCCTGCTACAGTTAACAAATAAGATTTATTATATAAGGCCACTTAGCCCTACGTCACTATTGCGTACAGCCCCATGCGGCTGTTCCTTGTAGTTTTTATTTTTTTGAATATTGAATATTGAAACACTGCATAAATACAAGAATTATGATTTATTTGAGCCACTGATAGGGGGCCTCATAGCCTAGTCAGTGAAGTCACGGTATTGCCAAGCCGGAGGCGGCGGGTTCGATTCCCGGTCCGGTCGAGGGAATCTTTCGGGCTGGAAATTTTCTCGACTTCCCTGGACATAGAGTATCATTGTGCTTGCCACAGTATATACAAATTCATGCATTGGTATTGACATCGAAAGCTCTCAATTAATAACTGTGGAAGTGCATTTAGAGAACTAAGTTAAGAGCACGCAATAAGCTAATATGCACTAAGCAATAAGCTTGAAATGCGAATAAGAAGAAGAAGTTGAGCCACTGATAATTTCACATTTACGTACATAATTTGTTTTACTAATGCGTATTGTTTCATGTGGGAAAGAAACTTACAAGTTGCTAAGAAGTTCTACAGGGAACTTTAAAGTAACATTAAAGTTGGTAAGAAGTTTCACTGGGAACTTGTTCGGAACTTTGTTGCGGCCATGTTTTCAGCCTTGCCTGAAGCTCCTAAGAAGTGCTTAGGGATGCTTTTTGGAACTTTATTTGAACATCAAGTTGCTAAAAGTACGCATCGGAACTTTTTGGAGCCTGAAGTTCCACTTGTGCTTTCTATACCTTCTGTAGCAGGCAGAAAGTTCTGCTGGAACTTTATATGCACTTTATGGAACTTGAAAGTGAGTTTTATCGTTGAATGCGGAACTTTTTGTTGCTTGGGTACATTTAGGCGTATGTTTAAATATCATACATCAAAATATGCCCTTTTTTCGTGCAAACATTTGTTGAAATTTCAACACCACGTTCTTCTTCAACGAACACAAATCAAGTATAAATGCTAACGTATGAACTGCATTGCATAAAATCGAAAGAGCAGTTTCGCTAACGGTCATGCTGCACCAGATCACAATTTGACATGGAATGAACCGCTCAGCAATTAAACCCCCTTAACTAACAATTGCATTTTTTTTTAATCCCACTCTCCACCTCGCCCTTCTGACCCAGATACGACGCCGACGCACGCTACCTATGCGTCCCCAGTCGGGACGACATCTTCAAGCTGCTCGTTGGCCTGCACGAGAACCGCACCGGCAACCACCAACGGACGATCAATTTCTGCAACCGGAAGCGGCCGGCCAAGGCAATTTTCACAAACATCCGATTCTTGGGATAAGCCGCTCCTCGCTCGTTCCGCACCAATTCCAACCATCTTATACTTACGCAGTGGATTCTACCTGACGAATAGCTCATCCCCTCTCGAAAATTGTATCCATCTTCAGCATTTCGACCAGCACGCATGGGGAGGATGTATCTACCGGACGGCAGGCGATGAAATCCAAAAGAAAAAAAATGGCAAACATTTACGGAAACAACCTTAACAACAATGGCAGAAAATATTAGCACTGTATAAACGAATAAATTTGCAAATTGAACACAACCTGCAGCCCCGAAGCTCTAGAAGTACTTGTGTCGCGTAGATTTTGTCTGTTCCTTCTCCGAATGGTGATGAGGCTGAACGATTGGAATTATTGTTATCGTCGATGAAGAAATATTTTTTTTTCTTTTCTTCTGAGAATAAATACATAAAAGGGCTCAAGAAAGAAGAAAAAGACCTAAGCGCATACGGAAGACAACGTCAAATATCAAATGAAAATGAAAACGATCACCAGTTTGGAAACTTGTAATCCATAGGTTATAGTTTATAAATACTTGTAAAAATGTACTTGACAAACATTAACTAACAATTACACAACAAACAAAAAAATCAACCAAAACAATTACAGTTTATTGAATAAATAAGATGTGGTAACTTATGTGAGCAACTGAAGCCAAGCAGTATTATTATAAACCGTTTTAACAGCCGTTTTATCGATTTAAGTGATTTTTCTGGAATAAAAGGAAAACTATTCAAACTATAAATGGTGTGCATAAAATCGGATCAAGCGTAAATTTATGTTCTCACTAATATGGTCTCAGAAGCGATTAACCAGCGTGGTACGGCGTTTGCTCTGATTTGTTCGCAGAATCTAGATCCCAGCATCGCGTGCTCTCTAATTAACACGTCCTTCCGCTGGGCCGAGAGCACACGGAAGCAGCTTCCGAGGCGGAGGCTCTATTATGACTCGTTTACCCGGTAATTAAAGTTTAAGTTGCTACAAGTTTTCTCGCCCTGTTTCCCAGATCCACCTCCACGGCGGAAGTTGGAATAAATGCAATCATGCATCGTTGTCGTGACTTGTCGACCATGGCACATAATTTGATGACAGACCTTGCACGAAGCGTTTCTGGTAACACAAGAGTCACGCGCAGAAAACGGCAAAGCTGGGCTATCATTGAAACACTACCCACCGGTTATTGTAGAAAACAAAAGGATGCTAGTTACTTGAGACGACAAGGAAAAGGCAACTTTCTTCCAACTCGCGTAGACCTAAGAAGGCAAAGGAGAGCTGAATCGGTGCATGGAAAAATTGTGGCAAAACTTTTTCGCATTCCCCAGAAGAAGAACCTTTTATCTGCAAGATAAGATCACGGAGTGAATGTTTTTCTTTTTTTTTTCAGCTGGAACTGCTCAGTGCGTAGGTTCAAATTACCAAAGTTGGGACACTGCTAAGGATGCAAATTTATGCAACACCATCGTTCTTACCGATTCATAAGAAAAGGTAACGAAGGAGAAGTTAAGCTGTAATTTGTGAAACACTGTGCAGTCGTAAGGTTTGCTCGTGCAGCCATGATAAATAATGAGAGGACTATTTCCAGCGGAAATATTTATAGAACGCTCAACTGGTCCTAAGTTGGTGTACTTGGTTGGCTTGCATTAATGGCGATGAAGTTATTATGTTGTTTCAGTCGTATTGCAACTTCGTTGATTTTAAGTTGCCGTGGAAAGTGAAAATCGGAAAGACACTTATCAAGTGAGAGAGTAATATTTGGATCCATTTTGGCATAATTGTTTTTCAGGAACCTTGGGTAAATTTCAGCAAATTCAAGACATATCGAAATTCGATTGCAAAAAAGTTTCAGCCCACTCAAAATTGCTGAGGCATCATAAATAAAAATATATATAGAGGATTCAATTTACTTCATCATTTTATATTTCAGGGGCATAATTAAAAATTAACTGAATAGAGCTGTCCCTTCTATTGAGCTAAGTGGAATATAAATTTCTTCGAGGAAGCTACCGTTTTCGAACCTGAAAAGAACGAACGCGTCCGATTCACTGTAGCGTCAAATATGAAAAAAATACATGTGTATGTGTGTTACTTAGCAATGCAAGGCATCGAGAGGAAACCATGATAGGGATTCTCAAAACAGCGACATCCGCCCTGCCGTTGAAACTCCGTTCAATCTTCGTTATCCACGTCCAATGAAAGTAGATATATCTCTGTCAAGGCTCGTTAATACTCTCCTTTGGATGTCCTCAACGACACGAAACGCGTCACTCCATCAGGTCTGAAATGAAGAGCGATGATGTGCGCAAGCTGCCAATGTAACGGTGGAGCAATTTGATGCACGACGATCCATGACGAGTACAAGGGCGCCCAACGGAATGCTCTTATATTTCAACCATTTCGATCAATTCTATTCAGGTAAACATTCTAATGTCCATCGCTTCGAGAAGTGCTGCAACACGGTTTGGACAAGCTTCCAGAGGGAAAGTGTTGATTTACGGAGATTCAGATACGACGGCTCAGCGACGGAAATGGGCCGGCATTTTTGCGGTGAAGAGTCGCTCGGATCATCTGAGCATAGTGCAAGTTGCCGCGAATTCAGGACAGCTTCAACCTGCGTCAGAGTGGTATAATGCTACTCGAAGAAAATTTTTCGATCTCCAACAATTCTTGTCAGGTGAAACTTTACTTCTTTCACCCCGCCTCCTAAATCTCACCGAAGTGGGGGCTACGTGGAGGTATAAATGACCATTCAAATTCCAGTCTGGTGCAGAATTTAGTGACCTTCCGAACCTCCTGCTGGTTCTTGAACATCTCTGCAAGTCTCTGTGTTGCAGCCGTGTCTTCTAGACCGGAGTCAGTCCAGTCAGAACGCAAGTCTGGTAACTCTCCGTTCGGAAGTTCTGGCTTCTCTGCAGCTTTAACGAATATTGTTCTCAGCATCGGTGGTGTTGTCCAACAAATATCGTTGTTGTTCGTTTCCCGGGGACGCTGCCCGCAAGATATGAAATCGGAATGATTTTCGTTTGTTGGAATGTAATGCCACTGGAAGTGGCCGGTAAGCTTCTGTATCTCCGAAACCCTATTAAAGACGTAGATCTGTAAACTCAGCGGTGGTTTATTAATCCAGCAATACACAATCTTCGTATCGTCCAGAGGTTCACATAAATTTTATTCTATGTTCCTTAGTTCCTATCCGCAACAATTAAAAAAAAAAACTGGAACTGTACCCGACTTTAGCTGCTAATAGTTTTCTGCTATTCGATGCCACGTATAAATCCAATTCGTAATTGAAATGTAAACAAACGACAATTCAATTATCAATATGATTTCGTACGCTACAAATTTGAGAATTTTCCGTCACGCTTTATACGGTTAATTTTAATAGAAGAATACCATGCCTTTCCAATGGCATTTTTTGACGTAAGACTTCGTTTGTGATTTCTATATGGGAGTACACTTTGTGAAAACTGAAAATGGAACATGTAACAAAGTTATGAAAGATTTTGAACGTTAATAACTCAGCTTCCCCTGAACCAATTTCAATAATTTTAACACCAATCGATCAGAAATATTTCTACGCCTCTTTGAAATTTAAAAATTTACCATTTTTCAAAATGTCATGTGCAACTGTTGCTATGATAATTAGAATTATCACCGATTTCCTGCGAAAATCAATTTCCCTAACACAGATTTCAAAGTTGAATTCCATCCAGTCTCACCAAACGGTGTTTATTCGTGCTCTTCGTGAATCGCTGTGAACCGTCTATGTCAAGCGCTTCATACTCAAGAGTATAAACAGAAAGAACACCGCTCAAATTCAAATTCCCACACAAAACACAAGCTCCTACTGCAGTTAACAAATAAGATTTATTATATAAGACCACGTGGTGCTGCGTCACCACTGCTTACAACCCCATAGGGCTGTCCCTTGTAGTTTTTTTCCTATGTTCGGGACATAACACCACTGCGACCAGTAATTTGATCTATTGTAGTATATCCCGTGTCCTTAGTTTAGTGCATGTCGTATTACTCCATCACTATTGAGAAATGATGAAGTATTCGGTGTTGATACAGTTGTCGTTCTTGCCTTCATCGCAAGGAATCGATTCTAACTGAAAGGTTCCGCTAATTATACCCTTCGGAGTTGGTACACCCTCCAAAGGCGCGCCCCTTTGTCAGTCAAAATTGGATTCCTTAACAGCAAAAACAAGCTATGACATCGACAATGACCATGCATCAGAACCCTTGTCTTAACCACTTCAAACTAGGGAACAATAACGGCGCCGGTGGTGTAGTGGTAAGCGTGATTACCTCTCACCCCAGCAGGCCGGAGTTCAATCCCAGTCGGCGCCGCCGGGATGTTCTGAGGCATAACATCTCTGATCACGCCTTTCTTCGGATGGGAAGTAAAGCCGTTGGTCCCCGGTTCATGAGTTGATGGGTCGATAGGTAGGGTCCAGGTGTGAGAGCTGCCTTCCTGGCACGTCGGTAGCATTGGTGCTCAGCACGGAAAACAAGATCGACGGAAAAAACAAACCAAAGGAAAAACTAGGGAACAACGATTAGAAGATTAGGAATCACATAGGTGAAGACTAACTAACTCATTTTTTTCGTTGTTTCAAGATCATCCTCGGTTCAGGCAACCCGAAGACTTATCACTACCAACAAGGCATAAAAAGTAACAAGGACTAAGATGTGTTCCTTTGATTAGTGAAAAATCCTGTTCCCCTAGTTTGAAGAAGTCAGGAGTAGGAATCGGTGGTAGATCTTACATCCCGTAACGTACCACGAAAAGGTGATCTACCCTCGTTACGGGGCTTCCAATGGCATTACTACCGATACGATCAAAAAAGTATTCGTTTCACCGTCACTGTCACGCTGAAGCAAACCCAAGCAACCAACAAGCCCGCTAATTTGCCTTTTTGCAATATAAGGCTGATACACGGCTAACAAAGGGCATGCTAAGCTATATATTAACCGCATATTGGCCTGCTATTGCAAAAAGGTGAATTAGCGGGCTTGTTGGTTACTTGGGAACGACAGTCGCTCAAATTAAAAGTCATTCGAAGTAAACATGGCTGGAAAACGGGTGGACAATGCGTACCATTGGTACTTCGCGTATCTGCAGGTATAAGAAATAGACCCCGCTAGCGGTCCTTAGCCTCTTGTCCAGTAGCTCCTATCCCTACCTCCCCGCGGTGCCGGCAGGGGTACGAGTAACCATAGGGAAGATCGGGTAACCAACCCCGGTGGGACCTTGGTCGTATGCTGACAGGAAAAGGGGGGGGGGACTCCTGTCTCCGGAGAGTGCAGTCTTCGAGCGTCTGTTCACCATGGAGGTGCGGCCCAAAACGGCGTCTGTTCTCCATGTTAGGAGCGGCTGATCAACGTCCTGGTGCCAGCGTGGGACTCTAAACAGTGCTGTGCACGATGGTCCCCCGGCGAGACAATGGGGGTTGGTGCAAGCCCTACAAGCCAGCCGTAAAAAAACAAAAATACAGGAAGCAAGCAATGTCAATACGGACCGGAACAATCGGCATAGACCCAAGCAAAGGAAACGGACTAACGATTGGAAACTCGGAACATGGAACTGCAAGTCTCTCAATTTCATGGGAAGTACCCGCATTCTTTCCGATTTATTGAGGGTCCGCAAGCTCAACATCGTAGCGCTGCAGGAGGTTTGCTGGAAAGGATCGTCGGTACATACGTATAGGGATGGTTATTAGACTGATGCAAAATTTGACTTTT